CTGTGGGTGTCTCCCAGCTGTCGGCGATTAATCACCACCTGGTGATACCCGGGAGGGTATTTAATCCCTCCCTGCAGAATGAATTTTGCCTCAGTATTGTTGCCCTAACCTGAGTCCTGCCTCCTGGTCCCCCCTTGTACCCTGACCATTGCTCTGTGGTTCCCCTTGTGTTGCTGTGCTCCCCAGGTTTCATTTGCCCTGGGGAGCAAGGTTTTGGTTTTGGTTTTGTTATTTGCATTTTAGTTGGTTATTGTTTGATACTTGTGGGTGTTGATGGGGTTGTTTGTGGTTTTATGATTTTGGTGTGTTTAATAAACTGTGCTTATAAACCTTGTCTAGTGTGGTCACACATTTGGTCCTCCTGTAGAGATACCAGTACGCGGTGTGGGGACACCTGTGCACTGTATCCCTGACAATAATATAGCAGATGATGTCTTTCCCTGAAGACAATTTGGATATATTAACTATTAAATTTACTGCTGAACTAGACATGCCTATTTATTTGTAGACATGTGCGATTTTACTGCTGAACTATATATGCCTATTTATTTGTAGACATGTACGAATTTTCCAAAATTCAGACATTCGGACACATCTGAAATTCCGACTCTCAATGCGTCCAAATGTGTCTGAATCCGAATTTCCATTTTGGAATTTCAGATCCTGTCCACATTTCGTTCATAAACTAAACTGAATCGGACATGGGACTTTTCTAGCCAATCAGATGTGTTTTTCGGTTTAATGCATCCAAATCGGTCTGAACACGTTACGTTACGTTTTCGTTACGGCAACATGGGAGCCATATACAGTATATACATATAATACTAAAGCTGAGGCTCCTTGACCCGAATGGCATTCAGGATCCAAATTTCCGAATTGCATTCAGGAGCTCCCGAATGCCATTGGGGTCTGGGAGCCTCAGCTTTTGTAACATATGTATATGGCTCCCAAACCCGAATGGTATTCGGGATCTGAATTTGAATATTGCATTGGGGAGCTCCTGAATGCCATTTGGGTCTGGGAGCCTCAGCTTTAGTAATATATGTATATGGCTCCCAGACCCGAATGGCATTCGGGAGCTCCCGAATGCAATTCGGAAATTCGGATCCCTGATGCCATTTGGGTCTAGGAGATTCCGCTTTAGTATGGATATCTGTGGTTTTCTGTGGTGTTCGCAGCGCATATTAGTTAACTCATCCGAAACTAATGAGAATTCGCATTTCGTCAGATTCTGAAACCCAAACCGAATTGAATTTTGGATCCGAATCCCATATCCCAAAATAACGATTTATCCGAACTGAACCGAATTTTTCCACAGCTTACATGTCTATTTATTTGGAAGCGTCTGCAATCATTATTGTAAAGATAGTAGTCACCAGCACTCACTTGTAATGTGCAAAGAGGATACCACTTTTATTGATATGTCACATGCGTCAAGAAGCCAAAGTTTTGGGGTCGTGCAGTGTCCCTTCATCAGGGCGACATCGTAACAATCCTTATTGGGCTTATTTTTAACTGCTAGGTACATCCGTGGCAGGTTCCTACCATTGAGGGTGTCAAAGCTTCTCATCACCTAATATGTGTGACAAGGCACCTGGAGGATAATCAATGGCTTCGGGGCGGCCGAACATACTCAGCCTGTTCGGCCGACCCAAAGTGCAGAAGGAGTTCGACTCAGCCGATCAAACATCTGTATCGGCTGAGCCGAACCTCTGGCAGGCTACTCACTGCTGTTCGGCCTATTCTAAAGGATGCCGAACAGCAGTGAGTGAATAGCCGAATGCCACTGAGCGGCATTCGGCTCGGCTGTTCTGCTCGGTCCCTCAGAGGGACCGAGCAGAACAGAAAAATAGTTTAAAAAGATTAAAAAAGTAAATAGAAAACGATTGTGAGTTTTGGTTTTTTTCTATTCTGACACGGCTCTGTGCCAGAATAAAGAAAAAAAGAAACAGCAGTGTTTCTCTCTTTGGCGGCCGGGAGCAGGAGACTCCCGGCCGCTAATCCCCTCATCACTAGCAGTACCCTTTATAACCAGATCTCAGATGTCTTCAGTTAGATTAAATCTGATTGGCTACTATAGATTATTGTATTCAACATTTCTCTCTTTGCTATGTTAAATAATCCTAACAGTCTAGGCTCTGTGTCTTCAGACTAAGGTAATGTTTATTTGGTTTTTATCCTGTTTTGACAGTTTTGTCAGTGTTTTGGGCACGGTACTACTAAAATTCATCATCCACATCATACCAGCTGTTGATATGTAAAAGAAGGGACAGACATGGACTTTAGATGTAGCTGTATGACCCAGACAGAGGAAGATAGATCCATATCAAACATGGTAGACCAGAAGTAACTAATGCTGACAAATATGTGTGGGTTGATCTCTACATCAAAATCATGCCAGAGGCAAACATGTACAGTACTGAGTTTTGCTTGGGTTTTCTGCATAGTGAATTGCTGAAATACGTGTGAGTTATGCTGAAATATGTGTGAATTATATAGTCTATCGCAAAATTTTCAGAACAATAAAAAAGTAGCTACCTTTAATAGATGTTTCTATTATTTTCAAAAACTTCCAGTTGCATCTGAACTTTCAGTAAAAATAAATCACAAAATACAATTTATGACCACACTGAGAATAATGGTGTACATAAAGGAAAGGGGTTGATAGGTGTGACTCATCGGTAAGAATGCTAATGGAGGACAAGAGCGAGCCTACTTTCATATAAGGAAATCTACGTATCCAAGAGCTAGACCAGGGGTGGGCAACTCCAATTCCTAAAGCAAAATATATGGATGTGTTTTGGAAATGCATCATAGAAAGGAAGACAATCCAATTTACAATACCTGCTGTAAGTAAAGGAGGATAATTTATAACAAAGGTGACTGTTTACAAAGCTTATAGAGATACAGAAAATGTCTTCAAGTTAAAGCCCAACTCTAATTAAGGCTGGTTTCGGACAGAGCAGAAAAGGTTCCTGTTGGGTTCTGGTTGAGGAGAGTTCCCCTAAGTTCCTGTAAGGTTAGAAAGTGATTAGAAATCTCTCCAACCTGAACACAGAAAAAAACAAATGTTTATTGTGTGTGAGTGAGAATGGGTTCAAATGTCTGAAATGTCTTTATTGCAATCTGTGACTTCCTGTTTCAATGACAGCTGATCTTGTATGGGCATCATAGGGGCAAGGAGTAAGGGTAATACTCACAAATGGGATCTCAGAGAGAAATAAAACAGAAATTGTAGCTCTTCCTAACTCAAAACAACACTAGAAAAAAACCAAAATGACCAGTTAAGATTCAATGTATGTCCCTTATTCCCTCATCCCACACAATGGACTGTGAATTTGTGAATAAGAATGCTGTTAATTATTCTTTCACTAGTACCGAATAACGTTAAAACATTTAAATAATGCTGTTCAAATACAACGTAAACCTAACATATATGTTTCCTTCCCTTATCGTGCTACTGTTAATATTCATGGATATGAGAGTAAAAGTTTTGATGACTTAGATATTCAATACTGTATTTTCATTTGCTTTGTGCAGCTTATTGTATTATGTTATCAGTCATTTCTGCCTGAGAAAAGGCTAACAACAGTTCCCTTAAATGACAGGAAGTCAGATGTGAGTAAACAAAGTTATCCTTTAGAGTTATAGTGTTATTTATGACTTGGCCAGCTCTAGAGATAAATCAAATTCTTGAAAAAAACAGAATTCAATTTTCAGCACGTAAACCCAGTTTTCAGAACATGCCTCGAGGGACAAACCAAGTACTGCAGAGTATGGGCACAGACTGATGGCTAAGACTCCCCCTGCAAGAAATTGCAGGGGGAGCAGAGGATAGCATTGTCTCCCTGGGAAGAGTAAATAGTGAGGATAGGAGCTGCTGAGCACAACCAGTGCCTTAAGATTATTAGATAACAGTTTGACCTATCAAATGAAATTGTTCCCCAAAACTAAACAAATGAAATAGCTTGGTGACATTTCTGGAGTCATTCATTTTATTGACGGCTTTGTTCTGGTCAAGCAGATCATTGACCATGCTGTGGCAAATACTAATGTATGTGGATTTTCCAGTATGAGCCCACTCTGAATATGTTGTGTTATGGGTATCAGAAAAGGAATTCAGGAGAAGACTGTTTAGTTACGATTTAGCAATTACTGTGTAGTGATCTGTGGATCAATAAAATTGAACATTTTCTCTGTGAACTGAGACTGTTTTAAATATGGTTGAGTAAATGTGTCCGATCAGTGAACAAAGTGTCTATTGAATTCCAACCTCCAGGATTCCTGGATTGTACACCTTATAGTATATCAGAATAAAAACATTTTTAAGGGAGTCACATTTTCATGCCTAAAAGGGGTTCAGGTTCCCCCAATGTTCTCGATTTGATGGATTTGTGGATTGATTTGCTCATCTGTGCCCCTCTCCCCCTGGACCCCCTGGGAAAAGGACAGACATCTTTTTAAATAAACACACATATCCCCATGCCAGGTAACAAACTATAGAGAGCAAAAGCTTATTCAAAACACTACAAAGGCATCAACAGCACTTCAAATCACAAGACAAAATAATGCATACAAACCATGCTCTGTGACAATAACATGTATTTTAATTCAATTGTTTATGTTTGTAATACTGAAAGTGTAACTTCAGCCATTTTTTTGGGGGGGATAGAGTGGGAGAAGGGTTATAAACACCCAGGTGTTTTATCACTGCCTGTGTCACAGGAAGTAAGTGGAAGTCTTCAACAGGTACACCAACATCACTTAAAGCATGAAAATGTTCTAGCCTTTTCCCGACTTTTATAGCTGTTGTGTCCCTGTTAGAGAGATTTCCACTTATCTCCCCAGTAAAGACACATAGAATAAGATAATAAGAACCCTACATCAATTCTAGCTCTTCCCTTCCTTACCTAAAGTTTAAATAATACAGTTTTGGCTGGAGTTTTGCTTAAATTCCAAGGAATTATATAATCCAATCATTTTCTTTGTCTGTATTGTAGTGTTTACGGCTGTCCTTTAGCCAAGAAAAGGAAAACCCAAGATAACAAACCTTTGGAACCCTCACCGAAAAGAAAACCCTACTCTTCAAAAACAGACAACTCCTCGGTGGATGAGTGCTATGAAACGGATGGGACAGAGGAAATGGATGAGAAGGAGGAGGAAGAAGAGTATTCTGATGATAACGAAGACCAAGAGGACGAGGAAGATGAAATAGACCGAGATGATGATGATGAAATCGAGGAGGATGAAGAGGAAGATGAAGAAGGAGAGGAAATAGAAGAAGATGATGAAGAAGATGACGATGAAGATGATGACTATGACGATCAAGGTAATAGTTACAAAAATTTTGAGGAAAGGGGGTATTATTGTATAATATTTTGAGGCAAAGACAACGGGACATTAGTTCTGGGATTTATCACATTTTAGATGTTCAGAGCTGATGTAAATCTGCACCACACTGTTATGTAGGTAGTGATATAACCACTTAAGCTAACTCCAAAAACCATACCTAAGAAAACACTTCAACACATCCGTTACTTTTGTGTGTGAGGGCTAGCCAAAAGTTGACCTTTTAATACCCTTACAGACAATTTAAAGCTTAACTCCAGACAGCTATAAAATACACACATTATTGCAAATAAATATTCATTGATAAACCATTAAAGGCATTTTCAAAGGCAACTAGTGTAAGTAACTGAAGTTGATTTTGAAGTCTCTTGCACTCCCTTTACAGCATCTGCAGTACTGAGCAGTACTGAAAAAAAAATCAGGTGTACTGCATGTAAATGTGTTGGTAAAGAACATGCTGTTAGGAGGAGATAATGAATGGAGCAGGGGTATGACCTCAGCAGTCTGCTTCTGCTTTTTTACTTTCCAGTCAGAAGGCAGAGGGTGGGGATAGGACACTAATGTATACCTCAACTGAATGTGATACCATACACCTAGCTATTCTGAAAAGCAAATATGTTGGTAGGTAAAATAGCTCCCTTATATGTATTGCATATGTGTATTTTTCTGTTTGCCCAGGGTTCAGCTTTAAATAACAGGTACATAGTGCCAGGGCAGACAAGGGTCATCCTCTTAAGCTTTAACATTAGGCAAGCTGGAAATACAATGGAGTTTGAAAGGATAGCGATCTCATTTCAGGAAGGAGACTTGAAACCAACTAACACCCTTACCTATAAAGCCACACAGATCACCTTGGCCTAAATGAAACCCAGTGTTTTTTTAATCCTCTCCTATACTTCATGTAGTCATTAGCACTTTCCGTTTACACTGCAATAACTTTTAGAAATCCGTAGAGCCATTTCACATAAATAACAAGAGGGTAATAGTACACATGAAGTCTAAAATTGTAGCTCACAAACCATGTGAAAAATCAAAGGTGTGGGAAGAGAATATCCTCTGGGTTATCACATATGGATTCCTTAAAATTAAGATTCTAAAATAAATACACCCTGAATGTTTAGCTCAGCCTATCTTTTTAGGTATTTAAGATCCTCCACACCTATTGAGATACAGCACTTTAAAAAAAAGGGGCACCTAACCATTTTACTCCCGTTCCCTGGCTTATACTAGCTCACCCTCCCACTTTCCAGATGCATACTTACCTTGATCTGGCATCTGCAGCCTCTGCTATTTGTTTACAACCCATGCCGACAGGGTTGTCTGAGTGCGCTGGCAGCAGCTGTGCAGTAGCTTACCACAAACCTCTATGGGCCCTCTCCCAAGTATCTCCAGTCTCGAGACCCATCCCAATAAAAGTATATGGGGTTGTAAAGAGCAGGAGCGGCCAGTGAAGATTTGCTAGCAGAATGTAAACAAATAGCTTTGGCCACAGCCTCCGGATCAAGAGAAGTATGCAACTGAAGAGGGGGAGGGTGTGCTAGTTTAGGTCAGTGAAGGGGGATAAAAAGGGTTAGTGTACCTTGCATACTTACCTTTGTTGAAGGTACAATTCAGTCAACATTTTCCTTATGAACTGGTTCAGAGCATACAGCCTCCTTGCTGAATGGCTGATATTTTCCTCTAGACTTCTAGTTTCCGAATGAGTTCTGTTGGCTGCTCTGCTGTCTAAATCCATACAGTTGTATTATCTTTATCTCCTGGCAATCCTTAATCTGAGTCTGCTAAAAAATTAACAGCATGTGCTCACTGGTTCACAAAATTCCATCTCTGTGAGACTGCTCTAACCTCACCCACACACATTTGTAGAAAATGATGAAACACTTGGTAAATTTGGCTGCATAAGATTATATAAATCTCATATGAATGGTTAGGGTATTACGTTCGGGTTTTATTAGCTGCTCAGTGCCCAATTATGCTTTTTGCCTGGACCTGCACTTTAGGTTGTCCTCTGACTTCAGAGTCTTGCTGAAAAAAACAGGAGCTTGACACAAAAAATTATGATTCCAATATCTTTACCTTAATGTTATGAATCCTAAAAACACTGCAAAGCACAGATATTTCCAAAAGTAGACTGTAGAGGAAAGATGCTGACAGACTCATCTTTAGATCTGTTCAAGAATTCTCCACTCAGGGTAATGCCACAATTTCAAAAGAGCTGATAACTAATTGCCCAGTTTCTAGACTTCTTACCATGGTGAATAGAAATAGATGTCGCAGTACTCTAGCATGCAGGTTCATTTGGAAGGAAGAGAGGCAAGAAGACTACAGTTAATAATGCACTTTATTTGAGGTGCTGCGCTGGCACAAGTTTCGTCTTAATATCTTGTTGTCACATATTCTTGTATTGATTCTTCTTGCTCGCTACTGGCACGTAATAATTAAATGACAGTGTGACGGGTCAAAATCAGATTTTATATTGCCACTTTTTCCCAGACAATGCTGAAAGGCTAAAACCACTATTTTTACTGATCTTGGTAGGACAGGAAGGGATTTTCGGACCTCTTTAGAGGCAAGGTTTGCCAAAAATTGACATACCATTGTGTAGAAAAGTATCAGGATTTTGGTAGAATGGAGCGTGTTAAGTGCTCCTGCTTTTACAAATGTACATGTTGCTTTCTACTGTTTCCTTTTAAATTAACCTTCTTGTTGCTCTCTGTTATGCTTTATGTTTTAAGAATCTTCCATCTGCTGGTTGTAGAGTTAGTAACTGGGGCATTTGACTGAGGATGCACTTCAGCCTTTTATTTTCCTACCCTCAGATTCTTACTGCAATAATCCAAGAGACAGTTATAGGTTAAGTAGGATATATGATTCTTCCAGTTTAGTCTTCTGCTCAGTTCCTGTTTAGTTCTGTTGAAGCTCACCTCCAAATGGGCAGTTGGAGCATTTGCAAAGAAAGCTAGCTAACGGGTTCTTTACAACACTCTATACAATAGTTTTTTTTCTACCGCCCATGGAATATTAAAAGTCAACTTAAATTATCATAAGATAATTGGAAAGGTATCCAAAAATCTACCTGCTTCTCCACTAGTGAAGTTAAAACCATAGTATGTGTGGGAAAAATATGTTGTGTAGATGGGGAGAAAAAATAGTATAAAATAGTCTTTGTCTTGGGTATCAGCGATGTAAGTCCACCCCCATATAAATAAATCTGAACGTGACATAGATGCTTAGTGCAGACTGATGACAGAGTAAACTAAATATAGGATATGGAGAGTTTGGGGACACATATCATTCAGGTACTATAGTAATAGCTGGAGTTTTTGTACCTTGGAAATATATGTGCTTTAGAAGTTTCTGCAAGAAGCTTAAAAAATGGCATCACTTGAAAGCACAGTTGCAAGAAAATGCTGTTCTATGCATTCTTCTTGGATATTTTTTCAGACAAATAACTAAGGAGTCAAAAAAAAACAATGAATTTCATTCATCAAGGTTTCTGAATCAGGAACAGGTCATAGAAAAAAATAGATTCTAATTGTTTTGTATGTGTTACTACATCTTTAAATTCCATAAATGAGGCCCACGATTGCTCATTTTCCTGATGTTAAAACCCCAATAACCTAAAAAGCAGTGAAAATAATTATTACTGTAACCCCCATGTCCCCGGTTCCAATTTCCCTGAGCTTGTTGATGTTCTGTATATGTCAGTAAGCCTTACCAGTGGGAGCATGATCAGAGAAGAGCTTTTATATAACCAGACCTGTGAATGCACTCTGATTTTCTGCAAGGCTCAGTGATTAAAATCAGTGCTTCAACATCAGCTGCATCAGTTCCCACAGGCACAGAAGTCGACATGTCTGTGCTTGGGGCAAGGACTGACTGAGAGGTATTCAGGTGGCTTGTTCCATGAAAGGTTGGACAACGCCAGAGCATCATAGAGCCAGTGACATGAACAGAAGATCAAGTGTCTGCTGAGGTGAAATGTGAATAATACATTGTATACTGGATGTTTGTAGTAAAAAAAATAGCTTGGCAATTATCAGACAGAGTTTTCTGCTAGCTTTTCTATTGCTATCCAGACACCTCTAAAATTGAGGGAGACAGTGGATACTGATTTATGCATTAATCTTGATAATGTGGATTGATGAATATTGCATATCAGCATTCAGCAGTAAATGTCTTAAGTGTAAAAATCCATATAAGAGGTCATAACAGAATTTGGTACAGAGAATAGTAGGAAAGGTGTTTAAATGAAATGCTACAGTGCCCTCTTCTGACAGTGCTACAGTATGTTATAAACTTACACGTTTGAGTCTTTCCATTCAATTCATCTGTTTATATCTCACAATGGCCATGGTCTCTTTTCTTAAATAGGCTGTCACTTATCAACAGGGATATATGTTTTAGGGCAGAGTGGTGGGTTGATATTAAACAGGCAAGGCTTAAAAATCCTGAATAATACTCTTGAAGAATAGGTTCCTCCAAAAGAGTATTTCCTGTTGTGCACTTGCACCCCGCACCCCCCCCCCCTCCCCCGGGGTTTTTTGGAA